TTAAATAAAATATTAATTGACCGTTTATTGTTAATGCAAAAAAATTATAAGTTTTATATTGAGTGAAAAAGTGTGTGGATACTTTTGTCTACTCTCTGTATAATAAATATAACATTATATTGATCTTTAGTAGAATTAAATGTATAAGTATTTTAATATTTATTGATTTATATTATTATTTATTTATTTAATTATATTTTAATACATTTAGGTATCATTCATCAAATGAGATACAAAAATTAGAGGTAGCCAAACAAATATCTCAAAGGTATTTATTATATATTATTTGTATTAATTTAATATATTAAATTTTTATATATTTTTTATTTTAAATAGAAACAAAAAAAATATAAAAAATAATTCAGAAATTAATTCCCAAGTTAATACTGATGAAAATTTAAGAACAGAATTTTTTTTTCAAGATAATTCTAATGAAAAATCTTGTCTAATACCAAAAAGTATACTTTTTAAATTATAAATATTACAATTTCTTTAAAATATAAAAATGAAGGTTTAATTAATTTTTAACTCAAATTTATTAAATGTAAAAAAAATTACAATCAATATTAAATAATAATAGTATAATATAATTATATAATTTAAATAGTTTAAATGTATTGCAAAATATATCAGGAATGAATAAATAAATATATATGAAATTCAATGTCTAATAGGAATAACTATAATTAGATAATTATATAAATGATGTCAACTAAGAGATAAGATGTATAAAATCATAAAAAATCAATTATTTTATGATTAAAATAATATTTTTATAAATGTAATTTTATATAAATTATTATAAATTCTAAATTTAATAAATATCATTATATAATTATTTAATAAAAAAAAAAACTGTATAACAAATTAATTTAACTTTTCATTATATTTTATTAGTCAATATCATCTTTACTATAAATCTGTTAGGTTATATTTATTTAATATAATATTATTCCTTTATCTTAATAATACTTTATAATATGTTAATTTCCATAACATATTGTTATAAATTTTGAATTCACAAAGGGATATTCTCAGCTATTTTTCCATTTTCTATACAATACTTCTGTTTACTAAATTTGTTAAATATACTACTAGGAACAATAAAAATTATATTAGAATTCTTATTACCAATAACTTTATCATATTCTTTTAATGCAGCCATCTTGATATTATGATTTAATGCTATTGTAATTTAAAATAATTCAACAGAAGGTATTAGAGAATCAAATGATGGAAAATTCTTTGCTATTGGTCTCCAATAATCATTAACAGTAAAATCAATTTTAGTTAAACTTTAAAAGAATTTCAGATTTTTTTTTGTCAATTGGATTTTAGAATAAATAATATTATTATCATTAAGATTCCTAACATTAAACTCTCCTCCATTTCTTTATAGATTGTGAACATATCTCTCAAATAATTGTCTATAGAATAAACTTGTAATGCTTTCTTCCTCACTAGTTAACAAAAAATAGTAGAGTAAATAACGTTATTGTTAAACAAAATAAGCAACAATCTTTTCAGCAATATAGATAGTTGCAAATTGTATTATTGTGTATATATAATCAGAGGTGGTTATATGGAGAATCCGATAGCTAGTGTCTTCTTTACTATCAAGTTTACTAATACTTTGTAAGCATTTTTCTAAACTAATGCTTACTATTGCTTGTTTTAATAACAGATTCTGTGATGGATCTCCAGCTTTCTCCAATACAAATCTTGGAATACCACTCCAATGATTGTAACATTTTACCAACTCACTACCAATAATATCAGTATAAAGTAGATTTTGACATTTTACAATTTCATTCCAACTCCAAATAGGCATGTATCTTATTGTTAACTTTAACATTTTGCAAAATTCTTTGTAATATGTTTTATTTGAAGAGCAGGCGAGAATAGTAATGCCATGGACATAAGGTGGTAGTTTTGTATTAACAAGATACCAAGTTGTAGGATTATTCAAAAAAGATTCAACCATATCATCATAAAATGTTCTGAGTAATAAAAAACATATATAGCATTAATTCATCATTTTGCCAAAATAAGAATATAAAAATTGGGGAACATACATGTATACATTTTCACCAGTAAAGATAATATATTTTTTATCTATCTATCTATCAAAGACCACAGTAGTACCTTTATATCGAAGAATGTATAGCAAATAAAATAGAAAATAACTCTTTTCAATACCAGGGTTTTCAGTAATGGTAAAATGTCGAAAGATGCCAGATTCAACAAAAGAATTAATATTATTCTATAGATCATTATATGCTTGTCGAATTATGAGCTTAGTTGGATAAAAAAGTGAATCCTTAAGAAAATGGACACCAGATGGAAGAGAAAGAACTTGTTTATTGTTAGATAAATCATTTAAAGAAATCCAGAAGTTTATAAGAGCTGAGGATGCTAAGGATGTTTCAATGAGAAATAATATAAGTAAATGATCTAATTAGCAATTCTCATATATATATATATAAAGATAAAAGATGATGTATGTTTGCTTTATAAAAGTACCTGGTTTTATCCATTCTATATAACCTGAAACATGCGATGAAAAATAATAAATATGTATATTTTGAAGATGGAAGGATAGAAATAAAGTTGATTAATAAAAATATAAATTATACAGTGGCTTCCATTAATAACGCAACACCCAAGTTATCGATCGTTAATCATGTATTATTACATTACGTGTTATTCAATAAATATAATATTTACCATATATGTAAATCATCAGATGATCTTTTAAATTTATAAATTTTACATGTTTAAATTGATTGGCTAATTTTATATTAGTGATTTTTATGCAGATCAGGTGTTGCGTTACTTTTGGCATTTTATTAAAATAAAGTTTTAGAACACTTTTTTTTCTTTAGCACTCATAAGAATTTATAAGCAATGTAAACTTTTATGCTATTTCCTCATATTATTTTTACTTCTTAAGTTATATTTGTTGTCAATATGCCAAAAAGGTTAACTACCGAACAGAAAGTTACGGCAATTACGTTAATTGAAAAAGGGTATAGTTATCGCCAAATTGCAATAAGAATTGGTGAAAATGTCCAACCTTCAACTATACAAAGACTTAAGAAAAAGTATGACAAAACTGACGAAGTCAAAAATAGACCTCCTCTAGGTCGTCCTCGTCTATTAACAAGCAGAGATGAAAGGACAGTTATTCGTCGAATTATGACAAATGAGTGTTCAACAGCCGTTGACGTTCAAAAGTCCTTAAAAATTAATGAAAAAATAGATGTTAGTACTAATACGGTTAGAAGGGCATTAAAACGAAATGGACTAGCATCAAGAACTAAAACTAAAAAGTCCCTTTTATCCAAAATTCATCATAAAAAACGTCTTGAATTTGCAAAGAAATATCAGACTTAGACGGTAGAAGACTGGAATAAGGTTGTCTGATCAGACGAATCTAAATTTCAGATATTTGGTTTAGACGAAAAGAAGTACTGTTGGAAAAAGCATGGTGAATAATTAAATGATTGACTTGTAAAATCTACCGTAAAGTTTGGTGGAGGAAGTGTATTCGTATGGGGATGTTTCACCTTTTTGGGTGTTGGTTACTTTTGTCGAATTGATGAAAGGTTAGATGGTGAGCTTTATCGACAAATTTTAAATGATGAATTTCAACAAACATTAGAATATTATAATTTAGATACTCAGGATATTATCTTTCAATAAGATAATGATCTCAAGTATACGGCAAAACTCACCTGAAAATGGTTTGCGAATAATAATATTCAAGTTCTATCATGGCCACCACAGTCCCTTGATCTTAATCTGATCGAACACTTATGGAATGATGTCGATCGAAGACTTAAATCACTGGATGTAATAATTCATGGTAAAGAGGAACTTTAGGAGCATGTTTCTAATATTTGGAATGAAACTTCTTTAGAAGTTTGTACAAAACTTATAGAAACTATGCCTCAAAGGA